GTTGTAGGCCAGGGCTGCCACCATTAGGGCCAAGTCTCTGTGGGAGATGGGAGTGGGTGGGAAGTGGTGAGCAGGTGGGCAGGAAAGAAGAGACTAGGCATAGAGTGGTTGGGCTGGGGAAAGCCTGGGTGGGTAGAAGGCAGTGGAAGGGGGTTGGGGAGAGAGGGCTGGGGCTGTGGGTGGGATCAGGAGGGCTTCTGTGGGGGGGGCGTGGGGGGGGCGTCGATCCCATCAGCTTACCGGCTCTCCAAGTGGCTGAAATCTAAAAGATTGAACTCCCGGTTATCCTCGGCATGATAGATGGTGTCCACATCCTTGAGGAGGTAGAACTGGCTCACCCCTGCTCCCCCCCTCCTCCTCCTCCTCTGCCCCCTCCCTCCAGGTCCCAGCTGCCCAGATGGTGGGTCCTTGCCCAACGCACCCATTGCACCTCCTCCCGGCAGTGCAGCCCGTTGTAGTCACACAGGGCAGCGTAGGTCTCAGAGAAGCCACCTGTGGGGCAGAATACGGGCTGGCTCCACGAGGGGCAAGGGAGTGAGGTTTAGGGGTCAAGGAAAGGTCAAGGTCATTTTATGTGTCAGTGCCCTGGGTTCCTGCTACACCATGAGGTCCGGGAGCGGTGGGTCCCCGGGGCAGGGGAAAGGACTCTGGACAAGGGGCAGGGTGGTTTAGGTCCCACTTTCGTCAGGTCTGCCCCCGCTCACCACACACACTGTGAGTGGTAGATGTGGAAGTCTCCGAGTTGGGGGATGTGTCTCGGGGCCCTTCTGGAGTGTCTGCATTTCCACGCCGGATTAGACTCCTGGAAGATGAACAAATCCATCCCAGAGAGAGGTGAAAAGAGGCTCTCCGTGACTTACGGCGTCTGGGTCGCCAGAATAAAACGGGAGCAGGAATATGCTTGCTCTTCTCCTTGCTGTCCTAGGAGCTCAGGTTCCAGGGAAGAGGGTAGGGGAGAGAAGTTTCCTTGCTGTCCCACCCCTGAGATGCCTCCTTTGCCACTCACCCAGGGCCAGGGCAGACCTTGGAGAGGGCTGAGCTCACATGCCGCGTCACTTGGTCCACACTCTCAGCTGACGGCAGCCGCATGCTCACCATGCCTCGCTCTGTCTCCACGAGGATCTGGGGGCGAGGGAGCAGCAGGGCCTCACACACTGACCCCCTCCTCGTGCTGGCCCAGGGGGCGCCCAGGCCCGGTGCTCACCTGGTTCTGGCTGAGTGTGTTGAAGGCCCGGATCTCCAAGACATTGAAGGAGCTCTCCACCTGGGGAGAGGGGGGGAGGGAGGGGGGGAGGTGAGGATGCTCAGCTCATGGTCAGGGTCTGGCTGCCATGCTCAGGAGGGGGCATGCCAGGTGCTCTCCGCTCCTCAGCCTAACTTACCTTAGCTGGGACTTTAAGGGGGAAGAGGTGGAGGCGCCAGGAGGTCAGGGCCTTCAGAGAAAGGAAAAGAAATCAGCAGCAAATGGCCATTCCCTGGGCCTTTGATTCGTGCCCTCCCCCAGCCCCCTCAGCCTGTGTGCAACCTGGCCAGCAGCGGCCCTCTCTTCTGGGGGTCCTGGCTCTCTCTCATGCCCCATTCTAACCTCCTGGGCTTTGACCCAGTCCAGCCTAACCCCTCCCCTAGACCACATCTCCTCAGCTCTTCCCCACCTCCATCTTCCCTCCTCCCAGGCTCTCTGCCCTCAGCAGCCCACCTGCCCTTGGTGCTCCCTCTGCTCCCAAGCCCTGTGCCCTCACCAGCACTCGGTCCTCAAACTTCTTGGGCTTCGTCTCCAGCTTCACACGATGCTGCTGGAGCACAGCCCCTTGGCTCAGGCACCTCCGGATGCTGTCTGCAGGTGGAGAGGGGCCTGCTCAGAGCTCCCCTTGCCCTGGCCACCCACCTCCTCAGGGCTCTCCAGGGGCAGAATCGGAGAAAAAGAGAGACAAAGAAGGGCAGGGACACACAGCTTTCCTTCCTGGGTGCCGTTTCTCTTCCTATTAGAGAGGGAGGGGGTGTGGAGAAAACTCTGGTTCCCCACGTTTCTGAATCAAGGGACAGCCGCTGAGTGACCCTGTCTGTGGGAGGGCGTGTCTTACACTTTTGAGGGTGTGAAGGCTCTTTTCCAGCCTGTTCACTCCAGCAACTGTCAGCCCATACACGGTGAGTCAGTGCGTAGGGGTGTGGGCGGGTTCCTTTCACTATAGTCTCGGTGGTCTCGGGTGTGAGTGTGCCTGCCTTTTACAACGCGTGTGTGCGCGCCTTCTGAAGCCGCCATTGGTGGGGATGGGAAGAGTGAATGAGTATGCTGTGCTTGCAGTTGTGAAAGGGGCACAGAGCCAGCAGGTTCCCGTGTGTGTGGCAGGTGGAAAGGAGTTGGTGTTTAAATGAGACCCTACCTAACTGCTGAGAGACCATCGAGAGAGAGAGAGAGAGAGAGAGAGAGAGAGAGAGAGAGAGAGAGAGAAAGAGAGGTGTGTGTGTCCAGGCACTATAAAGATGTTTGTACACACATCTCAGGATTGTGCTGTGTGTGTGTGTGTAGGTGTGGGAAATTGCTAAGGCACGCATGCCTCCGAGTATCCTTGAGCTCCTGATCTCTGCCTGGGCTGCTGCCTGTGGGGGTCAGAGTTGTGGCAGTGCTGGGGGGCCGGGCTTTGGTTTGAGCCGAGCCTGAGGGCCATGCAAACAGGAGAGGCCTTGAGGTGTGGGTATAGGTTGCAGGAAGGGGCAGGCTGGAACGGGGGCACTGGGAGGTGAGCTGCAGAGACCTCGCTCTAGCTTTTCGTTCCAACGCAGGCCCTCTTTCCGGATTCCCTTCTCTGCCCCCCTGGTATGGGCGCTGCTGGGCTGCTAGGGGGCTCTCCGGGCCAGTTCCGGGGCGGGGCCGGGAGAGGGAGGGTGCAGAGATAAGAGGCGGTCAGGACCAGGGGCAGCTCCCGTCGTGCAGCCTGGGGTGGGCCTGGCTCCGCCCGGCCGGCCGCGGGGAAACAAGGACTCTCCGGGGAGGGGACCAGCCGCCTCGCTTAGGGGTGGGCCTGAGAGTCAGCCCCAGGGACCGCGATGGGACTACACCTGCTACCAAAGATCAGCACGAGCGGCTCTGGGACAAGAAGGTCTGACAGGGTAAGGCGAGGGGGGGGGGGCAGCGGAGGATGCTCCGGGGACAGAGCCCCGCAGCTGGGATGCAGGGCAGGGGAAGGGGCTGCCTTGCCAGCGGGCTGCACCGGGCGGGGGCGGGGGCGGAGGGGCACAGGGCTGGGGTGAACCGCGAGGAGGAGCGCACTGGGTCTCGAACGCTCCCAGACCTGGCGCCCCGGAGACCACCGCAGCCTCGTACCTTGCAGCTCGCGGGTGAGCTCCGTGCTGGACTTGGCCATGGCGGCTGCTGTGGCTGCCGCTGCAGAGGAGCTCCCGCCGCTGGGGAGCCGCGGCACATGCTACACCGGCTCCGGCAGGCCCGGCGCGGAGCGATGCTGCAGCCGCCGAGCCCGCTCCAGTCGGGCGGCTGCGTGAGCGCTCCTGCCCCCGCCTCCCTCCCGGCGCCGGCCCCCGCCCGCCGGGACGTGCGGGACTGAGCATGCGTGCCGCGCCGCCCGGCTGCGTGGACCCCGCGCGCCCCTCCCGCCGGCTCCCGCGTGCGACGCCCGGTGCGTGTTGCCAGGAGCCCGGGCCAGCTCCTGGGGGGGGGGGGGGGGCGTCCCTGCTTTGCGGGCCACACACTCCGCGAGCATCACGAGCAAAACCCGTTTCTTTTGTTTGTGGGCCTGGGTACCCCGGTCATCCTTGCAAGGCCCCTTCCTTTTCCCGTTTGCTCGGGCGGGCGGTCCAGCTCGTCCTCCTTGACCTGGCCCGGGCAATGCCAGGGGAGGACCTGGTCAGATCTGGGGGAGTTGGTCCTTCCTCTCCCGCTGCCCAGCATGGGGATCCCTGTGGCGCTCTGGGAGTTCCCATGCCGCCTCTTTCCAGCTGGCAGCTCTGCAGACACCTCCACCCCAAGCAACATGCTCAGGTCCTGAGCCAGGGAGGAAGGTCAGGGGATCCAGAGATCCAGTTCACTCAGACTATGCTCTCTGCTCAGCTACCACATCTGTGCGCCCCACACTAAACAAATGAGCACATAGAGTTAAAGCAACACGATCATCTGCATTTTATTGGCACCTCATTTACAAATTTCCAACCTTCACGGCCCCTCCTTCAACTCCAGGTCCTTCTCTCCCATCTCCCTCAAATTGCCCCATGCCAGGGAGGACAGGGAGCCAGATGAAGGTACTCTAGCAGTTCATCCAGCCCCTGAGGGAACAGGCCAGTTTTCTTAGGCAAGAGGAGTTTGGGGACATAGTAAAAGCTCTTCAGTCCTTTACAAGGATCATCAACCATGTTTGAAAACATGACTTTAAAAACACACATGACTTTCATTCAAAGAGAACTAAAAAAGCATGATTTGGTTTGGTCCCTAGTAGCAAGGGATGCCTCGAGGTGGAGGCAAGCAGCCAGCGGGAGAGAGGAGCCAGAGCCTTCCCTGCGGAACCCTGGACTCATCTGTGTTTGCTTTTGGCAATGGAAGGTCCCTGCCCTCACTGTGGTGACCAGCGATCACGAGCTTGTGAAGTGTGTGGTTTGAGGCAGAGAGAGCGTGCCCTGTTGTCTGTGGGACCAGGAGACGCGAGATGCGGGCTGTGTGAGGGGCCATATCTCCCATCTCTATCCCTCTTAACTCTCTCTGGGACACCTCACCTTTTGATCTGTAGGATTTCTTTTAAGTTCTCCTCTCTTGCCTTGTCCATCCACAACTGCAGGAAAAGGGGACTCTCTTTACGTGAAAGAAGAAGCAGCAGGGGGGAACTGCCCACCCGCACATCGCCACTTCCTACTTCTGCCTAGCCCCCAGCCTCTCCTCACTACCCTCTGCCATTTCATTCTTTTCAGATTCATTCTTTTTAGAGGCATTTCACTGGCTCTCCCCCTTCCCACCCACTTAAGGAGACATGAAACAGTGTGAGCAGAGTCTGAACTTCTCAGTGTCCACCGAACACCTGGAGGAAGAAGGGGGCTGGGCTGGCCAGGTGGCTGGCACAGAGGGGGGTGACAGGAAAGCTGGGGAGGGGAGCAGTGATGGGGAGCTCAGGACCCTTGAGCCAGCTTTCCCAGCAGGATGCAGAACAGTCCCTCCTCCCTCACCACTTGGCTGAAGTTAGTCTTGATGATTCCAGGCGCCAGGCAGTTCACCCTTATGTTACTCTGGGCCAGTTCTATGGCCAGGTTCTTGCCGAGGCCCAGCAAGGCTGTCTTACTGACATTGTAAGGGCCCAGGCCCTGGGGAGAGGAAACATGGGTTAGTCTCTTTGTTTCTGGTTCATTCTTGGTTCTTATTGGAAGACATACAGGGTGGTAGATAACAGGGCAGCTCCTGGAATGGGGGGCCCCAGTTAGAAAATGGAACCCTCCCCAATGCTGGGGTTTGTGGAGACGGGGCATCTGTTTTATGGGAAGGGACTTAGGGTGACTGGAGAGTAGGAAGGTGCCAGATGGAGGAAGGGATGGGAGTAGCAGAGAAAGGGGCTCTTACAGGAAAAGGGGTGTAGGCTGCTATGGAGGCCACAATCACCACGGAGCCACCTCTGGAAAAAGAAGAGAATGACCATCTTCCCACAGAGACCCCCGCCCTCAGACACGTGTGGCCCGTCATACCCCCGCTCCCTCTCCTCTGTACCCTCGTTTCTCCATCTCCGGCACCACTGCCTTTGTCATCAGGGCTGTAGCCTTCACATTAATGTCCAGAATCTGAAACCGAGAGAAGGGGAACAGCATGAGCGGAGAGCTAGAGAGCACAGGGTAAGAGCAGCCATAATAGATTCTCTCAGACCTGCCCGATGGGGCTGGTGGAGATCTTAGAGATGATTTCCAGGTCCTTACAAGTGACGAAACCAAGGTCCAGAGAGAAAGAAGTGTCTCACCAGTGCATTCAGTGAGAGGAAGAACATTAGGCTGGGGTGAGAAAGCATGGAGCCTGGCTCACGTGTTTCCTAACTAGCCAAGCATGATTCAGCCTAGAATGAACATAACTCTCAGGGCTACGTTGCATTTGAGCTGGATTTTCTCTGTTTCTTCTTATCAGGGAGAGCCTGGGATTAGGTTGGCCTCCGGGGATCTGCCAGGGAATGGGCTGTGCTTCCCAGAGACAATGAGAAGCATTCCCGCACTCCTCTGGCTCCGGAGCTCAGGGACTGGGTGCTCCTGGCCTCCAGGATGGATTGTCTGGGGAACATTTGCTGGAAAGTGGGTTTGTGAGGAGAAGTGGGATCTCTTTGGGGAAGCTGGGACATAGGCTGGAATCAAAACCTCACACCCACAATTTATAACAAACGCATCGCCACTGCGCTGAGATAGTTCCCTCCCATGGCCCCTGGCAAACTCTTATTTTGAAAAATTTCAATCGTACAGAAAAGTTTAAAAAGAAGTGCAATGGTTATCTTTTTCCTAGACTCATCAATTGTTCACATTTTGTCCCATTTTCCCAATGTTTTTTTCCTGAACAACTGAAAGTTAAGTTGCAGGTGTCATAATGCTCTAACACTAATACTTATGAATAGTTTCTAAGAGGTTATAATCCATGATCACACCCAAGAAATTTAACACTGATAATAATGATTTTACCTAATGTGCTGTCCATAATAACATTTCCCAATTGTCTCCCCTATGTTCTTTTATTTAAAAAAAAAAAAAGTTTTTATTGATTTCAGAGAGAGGAAGGGAAAGGGAGAGGTAGAAACATCAATGATGAGATCATCGCCGGGACCGGTTTGGCTCAATGGATAGAGCGTCGGCTTGGGGACTGAAGGGTCCCGGGTTCGATTCCGGTCAAGGGCATGTACCTTGGTTGGGGGCACATCCCCAGTAGGGGGTGTGCAAGAGGCAGCTGATCGATGACTCTCTCTCATCGATGTTTCTAACTCTCTATCTCTCTCCCTTCCTCTCTGTATAAAATCAATAAAATATAAAAAAAAAAAATGATGAGATCATCAATTGGCTGCCTCCTGCACGCCCCCCTACTGGGGATAGAGTCCCTAACCTGGGCATGTACCCTGACCACGGAATCGAACCGTGACCTCCTGGTTCATAGGTTGATGCTCAACCTCTGAGCAACATTGGCGGTGCTCCCATTTGTCCTTATTTGAAAAATGCAAGGTTTAATCAAGAATCAGCCCTGGCATTTAGATTTGATGTACTGTGATATTTCTTTTAAATGCAAACTAAAAAGAAAAATTACTTGGTGTAAAATTATTTTCCTGTGGTCTCCATTCAGACTGCTCATGAAAGATGTTTTTCTACTTTAAAGAATATCAATCAGGAACCAACTCACTGAAGAACATTCGGCACTTTGGTCTCTGTGTCTGTGAAACACAGATAAAGTACAATATTTTTGGATTCTTAAACTTCAGTGTTGAGATATTGATGACATTAGAAGAAAAGAAAAATCAGGGGCAACTATAAAAACCTGGCATTTCCAAACCATGTGGGAATATTAACCTTAATAAACAAAGGCAGATATTTTAATTGAGGTTTTACAATTAAAGAGTGCAGGTGAGTGAAATATATTATACATGTAGTGTAATTATACACTCTCACAGAAAACCCCAAACCCCACACTTGAATTCGGACAGGGGACCTCCACTTCACTTGTGGCAGTGCAGAAGAACAGAGCTGCAGTCTTTTCCAAAGGCCGCGTGTTATAAAGCAGCAACGACGGCCATTTCACCAGAATTGGTATTTTATGGAACAAGCGGCTATTAAAGTTTTCCAACTCACGCGAAATACTCTTTTTTTGGCAGCTGAACGAGAGGACAGATGGTGTGCAAATTTAAATGTATCCGTTATTGGCAGATTAGCTGCCGTGCCTGCTGGAAATAAACCAGGAAGAACACCTGGATAAGGGCACAGTGAAGGCTGGGGTGTAGGGAAGGAGCGAATGGAAGGAGACAAACTGGGAGAAGCAGCAGTGACCGTGATGGGCAGGGAGAGGAAGCCACGCCCCACCAGCCCTTCCCAGGTGCGCTCCAGGTGCAAATCCCAAGCTCACAAGTTCTAGTACGCGGCACCTGACAGATGTATATGTAAAAGCAGACAAAGTGTGTGCTGTTCTCTGAGGCCCGCCCCTGGCCGCGTTATTCCCTCTCACCTTGTCCCACACCTCCTCGGTGACGTCCATGAGGTTTCCGAAGAAAGGGTTGACAGCAGCGTTGGAGACCAGGATGTCGATGCCCCCATAATGCTTCACGGCCTGGAGGGAGTAAGGTGGGAATCAGGGCTTCGGGTCAGTTGGGGACGGCGCTGATTAATGCTGACAGAGAATTCCTTGTCAGGAACAAAAGGATGTAAGAATGACATCTCTGTTTCTAGAAACATTTTTCTCTAAAACCACCCTCCCCTCTGCTGCTAAGCACGGAAGGTCGCCTCACTTCCGTGACATCTTTTCTTCCTGCCCCCACTTCTTCTAAGGCTGTCGCTGACCCTTTGCTCATTACACCTTCTCTTTGGGGTGCTGCTTTATTCTCATGGCCTCGCTGCCACCTCACAATCTATTTCTAGACCCTCTTCTTCTCAGATGGAATCCCAGCCCCATTTCTCCACGTGCTTACTGTCCAGTTCTCTTTGATATGAGTTACCATTATCTCAAACTCAGCCTTTCCACACCTCCCTGAAAAGAGGAACTGGTTTAAATGGACTCAGAAAGTTACCACTGGGAGGGGCCTTTAGGTCAGTTAGCCTCATGTCCTCAGGGTGAAGGTGATAACTCTGAGGTCCGGGTAAGTTAATTTCTCAAGACCCAAAAGTCAGGAGTGACATATGAGGGTCAGCTAAGCACAGGAGGCCTATTCATTTTGGTCTTTGGGAGAGGCAGAGTGATTTTCTCAGGGCACAAAGCTAGTTAGTGGTGGCAGAACTGAAATCGGTCTGATGGGGTGGGGGTGGGGGGAGGACACCTGTCTAGGATTAAAGCAGTTCTGTACTTGGTATCATCCTTACACCCCACTTTAATGGCTTGGAGGCATGGACGATTCAAGGCAGAGCTGAGATTGAAACTGGGAAAACCAAGAGTAACATCTCACTTCCTCACTAAATAGTAAGTATGTGGTAGCAGAATCTGCCAACAACATATCACCCTGAAATCAGACTTTGCCTTTGCCTAGTACTGGAAATTTTTTGTTATCCTCATCTGAGGATATGCTTTTATTGCTGTTGCTTTTTAAATCCTCACACGAGGGTATTTTTTCCAATTTGGGGGCGGGGAGGGAGAGGAGAGGAGAGGAGAGGAGAGGAGAGGAGAGGAGAGGAGAGGAGAGGAGAGGAGAGGAGAGGAGAGGAGAGGAGAGGAGAGGAGAGGAGAGGGAGGGAGGGAGGGAGGGAGGGAGAGAGAGAGAGAGAGAGAGAGAGAGATATGAGAGACACACAATGACCAGTTGCCTCCTGCATGTGCCCTGACTGGGGGTGGGGAGTGAACCAGGAACCAAGGCACATGCCCTTGACTGGGAATCAAACCCTCAACCCCTTGGTTCAAAGGCTGATGCTCTCACCACTGAGAAAAACTGGCTAGGGCTGTTTTTTATTTTTAGGGAGAGGGAAGGAGGGAGAGAGGGAGAGAGGGAAGGAGGGAGGGGGAGAGGGGGAGAGGGGGAGAGGGGGAGAGAGGGAGGGAGGGAGGGAGGGAGAGAGAGAGAGAGAGAGAGAGAATCATTGATGTGAGAGAAAATCATACCCCGACTGGGGACTGAACCGCAACTTAGGTATGTGCCCTGATCGGGAATTGAGCCTGTAACCTTTAGATGTACAGGATGATGGTCCAACCAAGCCACACCAGTCGGGGCCAGACCTGGCTATTTTGATGCCTGGGGCAAGCGGCATTAAATGGGCCCTCCGTTGACTTTGTGCTTCACGATTTGATTTGGCGCAGGGAGGGGTGTTATTAACAATGTGTACCATCTGCTAGCTCCCGTTTTAACTAATTATTCTTGCTAACTAGGTGCTAAGCTCAGATGTTTTCAACGCCTGAGCTGTCAACAAGTAAATTTCACAAAAATGTAAAACACATAACCTTTTAAAACCAGTATTTTTTTTATTATGATGATAAGTGAATTTTTATTTGCTATGGTAACAATAAATTCAAGAATTATTTTTTTAAAGTTTCATATATCATATATATTGTTATTAATTCAAATTTTTTATCAGCTATAATCTATATTCCAATCTCACCAAAAAAAATATTTTAAAAAATGAAAGCCAGGCACAAGCACAGAGTTTGATTCTGAAGTGACAGGGGAAGAAGATTCTAAGGAGGTAAGTCTTAGGCTCTTTCATGCATTTAATTTTAATCTCCCACAAGTAAGCGAGGATCTTAAGTGGCAGGGACAATGTCTCCCGTTTCTTTTGTACAGTGATGAGCACAGTACTTGGAAGACTATATGTACTCTATAGTTGATGAAATGTTGATAGTTACAATTCTCAACTTTACATATTGAAAATTTGTTAAAAGAAACATTTGTTTCTCCCACATGAAAAAACACACACATCTATGCCAGGAGCAATGGTTTTCTATAACCAAACTTTCACAGTGAGTCTCTCATAGAACTTGGTGCTACTAGAATTCTGTAGAATTTGTCGTAATCTAATTTTCTGTAGGAAACCATCAGTAGCTAAAATAGGCAACTAAAAATTTCATTTAGAGATGGTTTGCATTGTTTTCCAATTTTATTAAACACTTTGTTGGAATACAATAGGAATCTAGGGCTAGAAAACTCTCATTATTCTTTTCCTATTTAGACTTTTTAGCAGAAAAAAAAAGTCAACATACTCCATCTTTTGGCCTCTTGTAGGGTATGTGACCCAAACTCTCTGTTAGGATGTAAAAAAAGGCCTTTCTTTTTCTTTGCTGTAACCTTCCACAATTTATGAGAAGCACTTGCTAATTAAAGACCATGATTGTTAGCACCTCTGGTTCAAAATGCCCCTCTGTTCAAACTGAGGGATAAGATACGCTACTCTCAGGATAAGATACGCTACATACATACCCCTCCTCCCTGCTGGTTTACAACCCAGGGATAATTAGTAGAAAGTCACCACCACCACCTGCTCTTTTTCAAACAAGCCTCTTTTGAACTCTTCATAACTTTTGCTCTAAGAATGTTTTACAGACTTTGGAAAAGTACTGATAAGACACCTCCCCAGGATATCTGCCCGAACTGTCTCCTAAAGAACTAACAAGAGGATCCAAGATGGCTGCTCAGGTAGACACCCAACCGCAGCAGCACACAACAAATTCAATGGAACACAACCAAAATGTAGAGCGGACACTGCCCACAGGCAGTCGACCGACCATACCCAGTATTAATACTTTCTTGTGCTCTCTACATGTTAGTGTCCTGGCACCGAGCCCGGTCTGTGTAAGCCTGGCCTAGGGACTTGTGACTCGGAAAGAGCAGAATATGTTGGGCAGTGCGTGCTGCTGCTGTGCGTGTCTTTGGGGGAGGGGAGAAGGTGGTGGATTGCACAGAATCACCTGGAACGCTTTTCTATTTCTGCTGGGCATCTCTCTCCATCTAGGCCTATCAGCATGGACAGGGGAGGAGGCTGGGTTTTGATTGAACAGAGATAGAGGACCATAGAAGATTAATGAGAAAGGTATTCTGGCTTTCCAGCTGGTGTCTTCTAAGCCTTTCTCTAAATTGTGCACTCAACTACATAAAATAGTTAGGCATTGTTTGCTCTGTATCCTGAGGATATAGTGTGTGTGTGTGTGTGTGTGTGTGTGTGTGTGTGTGTATATATATATATATATATATATATATATATATATATATATATAAAATTATTTTTTTACAGAGGAAGGGACAGGGAGAGCTAGAAACACTGATGAGAGAGAAACATCGACCAGCTGCCTCCTGCACACCTCCCCACTGGGAATGTGCCCGCAACCAAGGTATATGCCCTTGACTGGAATCGAACCCGGGACTCTTGAGTCCGCAGACAGACACTCAATCCACGGAGCCAAACCGGTTTCGGCCCGAGGATATTTTTTCCATTGCTTTTTCAGAGAATGAAAGGGAGAGAGGGAAAGAAACATTGATGGAAGAGAGACACATTCATTGGTTGCCTCTCGCATGAGCCTTCACCAGGGGCAGGGAGCAAGCCCGTAACACAGGTATGTGCTTGAGACCCTTTGGTGTAAAGACTGACACTCTAATCACTGAGCATGCCGGCCAGGGTGTGTTCGGTATATTTTTTAGAAAAACATAATCAAGCAGAGCAGCGGCTGATCTGGTTTCCACTCACCACGCCTTTGAGAAGCTTCCCGGTGCAGGTTAGGAGGTTACTGGGTAGTCACTATCCTCAGAGCACAGCTCTCCTCATCACAGGGCGACAGCTGGCAGCTGGGAGCACACAGCTCCAATTGCTAACAAGTATCCTGTTATTCTCCGCCCTGGCATTGCCTGAGAGCCGCTCTGCTCCTCTCTTCTGTTTCCCGTCTCTTGACATGGGTTAGAAAAGAAGTCTTGGCTGGCTCCACTCAACGTCTCTTGGGCACACCCATTTGGTGCCACCGCCACTGCTCCAGGCCGGAGTGACAGCAACAGCCTCCTCACTGATCTCCTTGGCTCAGTCTCCTCTATTCCGGTGCATCCTTCCTACCAGTGCCAGGTTCTCTTTCTTTAATAACATCTTCATCTTGCTCAAGACCTCACACGGCCTCTCATTTCGGAGAAGTATTGATATGTTGAAATTACGTTGGGAGGCTGTGGGGGCCCCAGTGCCCCCTCCTTCCCACCAGCCCACGACACCGCACTCCTGACCCTGTGCTTAGTTGTGGGGCTGACGGTGCTCTCCTCTTCCCTTCAGTCCCTCCTGGGCTGCCTGGTCATTTTGCAGGGTCATCTGAAATCCTGTCTTACTCCATGTCCATCCCACCTAGTTCTCAAGGTTTAGCTCAAGCTTCGCCACTGGGCCAGGGCTGCAGGATTTTGACATTAAGTTTCCACAGACTTTCGTATGGCTAGGCATTAATTGGCCCAGCATCCTTTAGGTGGCTCGCTTCAGCCTCAGGATCAAGGTCCCAATCTCGGCTTTGTCCGGCAGCCTATGCCAGACGAGGTCACTTTCTTGAACTTACATTTGGCTTTCTCCAACCACGTTTAAAAAAACACACAGGTATATATCTTTAAACTAGCAGCCCTGACCATGAATCTGTGTGCCAGTAGCTCTCTGCGGGGCCTGGCTGCTCCGTGCCCGCTGTCCAAGGGCTCTCTGCAGCCCAGAGGCCCATCCACGGCCAGGCGTGGAATGCTTGCCTTGTTGCCATGGCGACGAAGCAAGCATTCTGCCAGGCTGCTCATGCTGCCCACTCTCAGCGGCTGCCCCCTCCTGCCCCTGGGACTGGAGGACTCCGGAGGGGCTGAGAGGACTGGGCGCAAGCATCTTTGTGATGGAGTGGTGGTTAATTTGCATATTACCCTTTTATTAGATATGTTTTTATTGGTTTTTTTTTGAGAGAGAGGAAGGGAGAGGGAGAGATAGAAACATTGATGAAACACTGACTGGCTGCCTCCTGCATGTCCATAACCCTGGCATGTGCCCTGACTGGGAATGGAACTGGTGACCTTTTGGTGCATCGGACCATGCTCAACCGAGGCACATAAGCCTGGCTCCAATGCTCACATGGGCATTCCCAAACAGTTCTTTCAAAATGGAATAACCTTATGCCTCCAACATCTCCCACTTCTAATATTACCCAAGTAATTTTGTTAGTACAATGGTCATTTGATTAGTACAATGGTTGGCAAACTGCGGCTTAGCCACATGCGGCTCTTTAGCCCCTTGAGTGTGGCCCTTCCACAAAATACCACGGCCTGGGTGAGTCTATTTTGAAGAAGTGGTGTTAGAAGTTTAAAAAATTTGGCTCTCAAAATTTCAGCCGAAACCGGTTTAGCTCAGTGGATAGAGCGTACTTGCCAAGTACGAACTCTGACACTGGCTTAGACCTGCGTTTGAGAGTACAGTCCAAGTGGGCAACGAGGCCTGACCTGACGACAATGGGGAAATGCCCGGCAGTCTGCAGGCAGCTTGGCAGGTCTAGATGACCCTCAGCTCCTTTCTTACTGGCTGTTGGACTTTGGGATATAGCCCCACCTTTCTGAGCGGAGTGTAAACAAGGAGAATAGTCTGTGCCTTGTTTGGGTTGCTGTCAGGGTTAGAGATGACCTGTGTAACACCCTGAACAAAGTGGATGGCACACAGTAGGTGGCTGAAACATGGTGGGCTTCCTCCTGCAGGTTTCCAGGGACTGTCTCTACGCCAAGGAACTGGGGATTGACGGCTGATTTGCTCACAGGGCGGGGACATCTATTTTGTGGTTGTATCTAACTTTTCATTTGCCCAATTAGATTGCAGGCTACTGGAGAACCTGGATCAGCTATTTTTTGTGTGTGTTTTTGTTTTGTTTTTCTTTTTGGTGCCCCCAAGGGCTGCTGCAGGGCTGAAGCATTAGAGTGGTTTTTGATTCTCTGACTGGAATGATGGATGATTCTTAAGAGACACAACAGAAAGGCACACAATCAAAGTGTGCTGGTGGACTGGTGTGGGTATGCAGAGCACACTGCTTTGTTTTAGTTAATAGTGCTGGCCTGGATCACACCCATGTGGTCCAGGAAAGCCGGGAAGGAGGCTGAGGCTGGTTCCCTTCTGCCACCTATTGGCTGTGTGCCCATATCCTTGCTGCTCACCGTGGTCACCAGCCGCTCCCGGTCCTCAGCCTTCCCCACGTGGCACACGGTGCCCGTCACGCTCAGCCCCTCCCCCTGCAGCGCTGCCACTGCCCGGTCCACGTTCTGCTGCTTCCGGCTGCTGACCACCACGTGGGCCCCATCCTGGGCCAGCCGCCTAGCGATGGCCAAGCCGATCCTGTGGGCAGAGAGAGATGGACGGTCAAGGCGAGCACTGGGAAGAGGGCTCCGGAGTCAGACTGCCCTGGTTTGAATTCTAGCTTTCCTTTTGGATACTCGTTTACTTTAGTTTTCTTATGGTTTTGGTCTCAAACTAGGTTCCCAGAAGTGACATCACCTTCCACCATGGGGTACACTCTGTAGTCAGTGAGGGGAAAGAAATGAGCTAAAGGTGTAGCAGCAGCCACTTCCATGATTGGAAGAGCCCTGCCCCCAAATACCTACCTTATTAGTCTGCATCATCTCAAAATTCTATGGTTAGCTATGTTTTGGAGTACATATGAAAGGATGGGTCTCTGGTCAAAAATGTAATTTTTTAAATTTTATTTTGCGCTCCTGAGAGTGAGGGTTATACATTTTGCAATTGTTAGCTATTGGTGTTTCCAGTATATTGTATTTTAGATTCGTGCAGAGTTTGTGTCTAGCAAAGTCCTGTAGTGAGAAGCAGTATAGACAAGAGTGGTGGATGGAGAGATAGGCTGTGCAGTGGAGGCCAAAATGTACTAAGCCAAATAAAAATTTGAATAGTATGTGAGTCTGGTGTCCAGCCTAGGTAAGGGGCGCGGTTCTGGGAGACTTGTCGAGGCACCCAAATGGGGTGTCTGGAACACTTCCATAGTCCATGGAGGCAGTGGGATAGTGTATATATATAATAAATGTATATATAATAATAAAAATATATTTTATTGATTTTTATAGAGAGGGATAGAGAGTTAGAAACATCGATGAGTCACTGATCAGCTGCCTCTTGCACACCTCCTACTGGGGATGTGCCCGCAGCCAAGGTACATGCCCTTGACCGGAATCGAACCTGGGACCTCAGACTGCAGGCTGACGCTCTATCCACTGAGTCAAACCGGTCTCGGCTATACATTTATAGTATTTTAAAAATCTGGGCTGTCTTGAACCTCTGGCATCTGGTCTTCCTAGACTCAGGGCCAGTGGGTTGGAGGCGCTGGGCTGCAGGGGGCAGCACTGAGCTGGCACAATGGCGCAGAGGCGGCGGCGGCGGAGACTGGGAGGCCTCAGGCCAACCACGTGGTTCCTGACTTCCTGGGCCGCGTGAGGCTGAGGACGCGACCCGGGAGGACAGGACGGGAGTCAACGCCCGTTTCCAGATACCGGGGGGCCTCAAAGCCTCCGGGCCGGGCACTCACCCGTCGGTGGAGGCCGTTACCAGGGCCACCTTATTCGCGAGCAGGTCCCGGCGCGCCACCCTGGAGCTGGCCATCCGCACCGACTTCCAGGACCGGACACAGCCGCCCAACAGCAACCCCGCCTTATGCATGGCGCAGACCTGTTGTGCAAGGTCCCGCCCCCCCTTGCGGGGCGGTGCGAGGGGCGGGCCTCCTCCCACGCGGTCCGCTCCGCCGCCCTCGGACTGGACCGCCCCTCCCGCTCTGCGCCGGCGCGTTTCGTGCGTGGAACAGACTGTGGTTGCGGGCGCCCCCTGCCGGCGCATGGCCGCCGCGCCCCGCAGCCCCCTGCTCTGTTCTGGCGGGTGTGGGACAGTGCTGTGCGTCCAGATTTCCTGAAGGGCTCACCCCACTGCTGGAGCCCCTCGCACCCCCCCCCCTTCCACATCTGCTTGCCCTCATTTTTCGGGGGGTAAGGGGTGCAGCTTTGAGTTGGTTGCTTTTGCTTCCCAGAACTTCAGGATGGACCTTCTCTGAAAAAGTCTGGGGCTAAATATGACAGCCCAAAATGGGGCAATTGTTTTGCCATTGCCCGTACAGATGAGGCCTGTGTGCACTACATGAGGGTCTCAAGTGAGGGTGGGGGCGCCTGGGAGAGAGACATAATGGGGATAGCTGGGCCAGGCCTGACACTGCCCTTCATTCTAGCTCAAGGTCACCTCCATCTTGACAAGCCTGGAGGGCAGGCTCTGATCAGTGTGGTAACCAGTGTTCAGGGACAGGACTCTGATACCCTTTACCACAAGGGGACTTCCCCATTATACAAGGCCTAATGGCAGCATGGAGGCTAGAGGGCCCCCCAACCAGTGGGAATACAGAGAACTCTGGAGAATTCTCTTCTCCACAACTAGCAAGTCCCCAGGTCCTAGCCTCCAATAAATATGTAAAAGCACTTTATAAACTGTAAACTACTAAACATAGTAATTATGGCCACCATAAAGTAATTATTATTGCTGCCACAGGCCAGACTCTTCATCTGTAAACTAAGAATGCGGGAGAAGATGATGAATAAAGTCCTCTCTACTATAAATTGTGTCCAAGACTTCAGCCTCCACTTCTGCCAAGTGGGCTGAAATGATCTCCCTGCAGGGTTTCTGGGAGAATTAATAAATCTGGATGGCTTATGGCACACTGTACAAAGGCCCTGGCAGACCCAAGTGCTAGTGCCCGAATAGGTTTAATCCAGTGGCCTCTAAAAGCCAGACTGAGAAGTGGTACTGATCCATGGCAAAGTTTTCTAGTTCAAGGCAAAATGAAAAAATAAAGAAAATGTAGTGAGTATCATAAAGCTAAGCTTAATTGACATAACAGATACCCCTTTATTCTGGCATAGGCTTTTGCTTTTGTGTGTGTATGTGTGTGTATTAGTCTTTTTGTTAAGAAAAAATGATGAAAGCAGATGGGTAGGTTGAGGAAAGTGTTGTGAGTTGGCAAAATCACCAGTTTGGGAACCCTAGGTCAGTCCCTACAATTGGAGGAGAGAGAATGCTGGTCTGTGAAATTCAGTTTGGGGGATTGCTGTTTAATAGAATTTATACTTGCCAAAGATTCATGTAGTGTATGTATAGATTAGCTGATCAGCTGAAAAGGGGATTTCAGCAGTCAAAAGGGTGTGTGTGTGGGTAGCAAGTAATATAACAACACACAATGGATTTATAGTATATTCTTCAACCAATAAGTTACAGCTGCAATACTGTTTTGGTACTCAGCACATCCCGATGAGATAAGAGAGCTTAAGTCCAATTTCCCCCACATCGGGGAAAACTGACTCTCTGACTGGTGCCCCTCAGTCTGAAACTCATGAATTATTGACAGGCTGGATAGTGTGACACCGCTCTTCCTCCTCCCCGCTCAGAGCTAATGCACGGTGGGAACGCTTCCCGGCGCTCTCCACCTGCACGTGGGGCTGGGGAGCGGGTGTAGGAGGACTGGGGTAGGGGTTCCCAGGGCTTTCAGGTCTCAAAGGGACAAGCCTGAAGGGAAAATTTGATCCTCATCACCTCCTGATCAGGAGTTGATGTTGTGAGGGAGATGGAGGGAGATCATACTCCAAAGAGCAAGGGGTTCTGGGAAGAGAATTCTGGCCTGGGAGCTCCTTGAACATTGGCTTCTCCTCTTCTGGGCAAGGCTCGGTATTCAGCCTCCAGCACCATCTGGGAGTACTCAGGGGACACTAGCGAGGGGATCTGAAAAGAAAAGGGCAGAGTGTGGGATCTCTAGCTCCTCCTCATTAAGCTGGTTTATTGGAGAGGGAGTAGGACATTTTTGGGGAAAATACATGGGTGTGTTGGAGTCTCTTTGAAATGGGAACTTTAATAGACAATGGATTGTTCTTGTATGGACTTGGTACCATCCGCAGAGTTGAAGAAATGCTCTGTGACTGAGGACTATCCTCCCATTTTCTTCAAGGGCTGATTGTGATCCAGAAGGAAATTCACCTGGAATGGAATTTAAATCTTGGGTTTTGCTATAACCATCCAGATTGGTCTTTGGTTCATGTGCTATCATTTGACTCAAGTCAGGAATGGGCAGCATGGGAGGGCTGGGGATAGCAACTTTTTAAGAATTGGCAAAGGTTGGTGCTTTCTAGAAATTTTATTGAATATTTCCAATCTAGTGAGGTGGGTGTTTTTATTTTCATATGTGAAACCACAGTGACTGTTCCAACTCACCCTCAGGTGGGAACGTATGCACAGGTGACTGGGGTCCCTCAGCCAAAGGATTGGACTTATATGGGTTTGCCCACAGCACTTACCGGTAATTAAATTTGACCGAGCATAAACCAAACACAGAGACAAATATTAAGATGCACGAATCACACACGGTTTATTTACCAGAGTCCTGGTGGTTTTCAGGAGCCTAGGCAGGTCACCTGGAGATCCGCGCCGACAGACACACACACTGACAGGGACACGCCACAGCAGCGTCTCAGCCACAATTGAGGCCTCAGAGGTTCGGCTCACGGGCAGCGACAGCTCACTTGGGCAGAGCTTCATGCAGTATTTCGAACAGGGAGAGAAGGGAACGGAGAGAGCACGTCGGGTGGAGGGATCCTTGTGGTCTCTGGCCAGTGCCTCTAGGTCCCTTCTTTTATAGCCATTTCTGGGTGTTCCCTTGTTCCTTCTGGGTGCAACCAATGGGTCTTCAGTGTGTCTCATTGGGGGTCTCCAGGTACTTTTTGCCTCGCTTACCACTTTCCAGATAAACACTTGTTAGGGTGTTCACATAGTTACAACTTTCCAGATAAGCACATGTTAGGGCGTTCAAGGGGCTCAGAGTCACTTTAAAACTTAAGTTTTACAAAATGGGTTCAAGTCACCCTAAATGGAGTTACTTATACTAAGCCTGAAACACATTTCAAATAATTTCTTTTACTTAAAATAAAATCAGAATAAGATCAGAAATACAATTCACACTTAAACTATGAATCACTCATAAAAATAAATGCTTTCACTCCTATTTTAAATCACACAAATAATTATTCTCACACTGTTTTAAATCATTAAAATATAAATCAAACATCACACCAATATAACTATAACAGTGACTCATGGCAATCTGACCCTATGTCAATGTCAAATAGCTACATGTTCCTTTCCTGACATTGTTGGAGAATGACAGTTTTCTTAAACATTAATTTTCTCTGAATTGGAATTTTACTTTCGTCATCAATGTGTTTTTATTTTAACCATTAAAATACCTATTTTAAAAATCATATAAATTACAGATGTTCATGATTTTGAAAAGAAAAGTGAAAAAGTAACTCTTCCCTATGCTTCTTTACCTATTCCCACGTAGCACTTGGCCTTGTGTGTCCTTCCAGAAACTTCCTCTGCATTTAGGTGCACTGTTCCCTTAAATATGTTCCCATGAATGGTTTGACACTATACATCATCGGTCCCTTGAAGTCACTGGTTTCTTTTCTTTCTATCCCTCTTCGTTCTTTTGTTTCTTAAAGTAGAGACTGTTCTGAGTGGTACACAATAGATCTATTCTCTCTCTCTTTAAAAATAGCTGTGCAATATTCCATTGTGTGGATATTCCATAATTTATTTAGCCAGTCTCCTTATGATGAACATTTAAATAGCTTCCCGTGTTTTGCTATTTTAAACAATGCTACAATGAACAACCTTGGATGTATACATAATTGTGTGCAAATCTGGTTGTACCTTGGGCCAAATGTTTTAAATGAATGATTATTGTAAAATTACCTTGAAAAGAAGTTCTGATGGATTTGTTTTTCTACAGTAAATTTACATGCTGCCCTACCCTCTTAAATATTGACATAGAAGGGTTTCAACTTTGGTTGGTGGCGTAAACTCAGGGATAAGTGTTGACATACCCTGGCCTCTGTGGCTGGAGGCCATAAGGAAGGGGGTCCCCGCAGACCTGCAGCTCACAGAATGAGGCATACTCATTCTCACGTTTGTCATCAAGAATTCCAGCCCAGCATCGCCAGGTCTTGGGATTTGTAAATAGAAGGTAGAAATCTGGATTTTAATATGAGGTATTTGATATTTAACTGTTGACAAAGAATTTCTTTAACACACACACACACACACACACACACACACACCAGTGAATGGATCTGTAGGTGCCCAAGACTGACTCAGTCTCTGCCTATTTAAATGTAACGGGTTATTAATTCTGTGAAATATTGCTCTGTCTAAAATCTCATGATTCTGTTGCATAGCTTATTCAATTTCAGGTTTTTCACTCCCCTTTCCCCCAGATTGCCCTGTATTTAGGCAGTTGCTTGTGAACACTGTTTAGAAACCATCCACCCAGTGTTTGTTTAAGTCTTTCACAGGAGCTCTGTCAGCAGCAGGCAAAAGGTTTTTAGAGACAGGCTTCTCTCTTCCTGAACCAGGATTGCTTTCATCTGTTGTGTTTGGGAAGGGGTGGTGGGGGTGGGGGTGTCCCTCAGTCTGTTTTAAAGTAGCAGTTGGCTCCATTGGGTCTCATTGCTCTCTGCCGCCGGTCACTTCTGGGAACTCCAGGATTATAATCCTGGTGTGGACTCCAAATGGAGGCTGAGATGCAGGGACAAGATGGAGAAGGCCATACTTTCCCAGCTGCCATATCTATTTTA